CGCCGGCATCGCCCAGCAGCCCATCGCCTGGCAGCGTCTTCTGTCGAGGGGAGGCCAGGACCTCATCCGATCGCTCCTCTTCGGGCCAGGCCCACGCTCAGGTTCCCGTCGACGGCCGTCGTCCACGCTGGAGGGGGCAATGAAGGGCCCCCTTCGGCGAACCTGCGGGCGGAGCCGCCAGGCCCGCAGACGAGGGAGAGGGGCGGGTCGACTCCGCGACACTTGCCTTGAAGAAAAAGGGGGGGCAGCGTACCTCAGGGAAGGCTGGAGGAGGCACCCCCGTGGGAAAGGCGTGGCCAACTGCGATCTCAGAGGAAGCCTGGCTGGTTGGCTGCCACGCGGTGCAGACGACGGACGCAGGGATGGCGAGGCGCGGGCGCCCCGCGCCCTCTTGCGCCCCGCGCCCTCTTGGGCGCGGGGCCCGCTCCTTCGCGAAGCCACGCCATCTTTTCGGCCCCTGGGCATCGATCAGCTCCGGGGGGACGTCGGCCAGCGGCGTGTCCATCGCGACGGCCCGTGCTGGAGCATCAGTGGAAGGCCAGGTCCGCTGCCGGATGGCGGCCTCCTGCCCCCTGTCTGAACGGAGGAAGCGCGGGACGAGCTGCCAGGTCTACGCGGGGGTAATTTGCCCAGCAACTTCGGGCGCGGCGCCCAAGGGATGGCTATCCTGCGCAGGCGGCGCGGGGGGCGGCTCGGGGGCGGGGGCATTGGCTGCCCGAGGCGAAGCCCTGGCTGGCCGCACAGGGGCGCAGGGGCAGGACGCAGGAGCTGGCCCCAACTCTTCGCAAGAGGGGCCGGAGCCGCGGCGGGCGCGGCTCGTCGCGGCGGGGGAGGGCCGGCGGGCTGGCGACTGCGCCCGGCGCGGCGGTGGGCGCGGCCGGGGCCTGCTCTGCCCAAAATGTGGGGGCGCCAGAAGGGGGAGAACCGCGGGGGCGGCCGCGTGGCCGCGCGCGGTGTTGCCCGCGGGGCGGGCCCCCCGCTCCCTCGCCCCGAGCGCGGGCCAGCGGCGGACCAGGGGGGGGCGGGGCCGTCCCGCGCGTTGTCTGCGGCGCTGCCGCGCGGGGCCGGGCGCGTCGCGGGGGCTGGCGGGGGGGCCTCGTGGGCAGAGGCTGCGGCGTCACACTTCGGCGGGGGGGGGGCGCCGGCGGGCTGCTGCGGGCGTCGAGGAGCGCGTCCGCTGGACCGTTTGGTTGGCGGCGGCGTGGCGGGAAGCTGGACTGCGGAGGGTTCGATGGTCTCTGTGGGGCACCTGGGAGGCCGTCGCTGGCTGCGGAGGCCAGGGCAGCTGTGGCGCGGGTTGGGGGCATGTCGGGGTTGCCGCCAACGCCAGGGCGTTGGGGGCTAGCTCGGGTTGCCGCAGGGTGCGCGGCGCCGAGGTCGTTGTCACCCAGGGGGAGCTAAGTCGGTGAGGGCCCTTTGGAGGTTAGGTCCGTTCTCCTTCAAGTTCTTCAGGGTCAGGGGGGGGCATCGTACGCCGCAGGGAGATCCATGGCTGGACCGTCCCCGCCGTCGGGAGCATCAGAGGGGTAGGTCGAGGCCGGGGGCGGAGGTCGATCCTCCACAGCAGTGTCTGTAGAGTCGGGGGGAGGCGGGGAGGCGTCAGCCGAACCCACGGGGGCGTCAGCAGCGGGGCGACCGACCTGCTTGGCGGCAATCCCCGCAGCGGTTAATCCCACCAGCCCTCTGGGCGTAGGTGGTCTAGAGCAGATCCTCTTCCACCCCTCCCTCTTCCCCCTTGGGGAGGGGTTTACCCCTCCCCCTACCCCCTCCCCTGGACCTGGACGGGGGGGGCCGCGGGTAGTTAGAGCGTCCCAGATGGCCCAAGACGGCTCCAAGAGCGCCTCAGAGAACCCAAGATGAGCTCCAAGATGGCTCAAGATAGCGCAAGATCGCTCGAGATGGCTCCTAAGATGGTTCCAAGAAGCCCAAAGACGGCCCCAAGATAACTCCAAGTGGCCAAACAGCTCCCCAAGGAGGCCCCGAAGAGGCCAAAATCGTCCCAAAACCTAAGGAAAATCAATGATTTTTGCTTTCTCGCCTTTTCGCTTCCGATGGCCATCCGAGGCCTGGAGATGGTTCCAAGATGGCCCAAGAGGGCCCCAAGAGAGCCCCAAAAGAGCCCCAAGACGGCCCCAAGAGCGCCCAAGAGCACTCCAAGAGCGTTCCAAGAGGGGTCCAAGAGGCGATTTTAGGGGCTTCCGAGGGGGGGCGCTAATTGAACCCCCCCTCTTGTTTGATCGATCTCCTCCAAGATGGCCCCAAGAAGCGCCCAGGAAGCCCCAAGAGGTCCCAAGATGGCCCCAAAATGGCCCCAAGAGGCCCCCAAGAGGCCCCCCGGAGGCCCCCAAGAGACCCCCAAGAGGCCCCAAGAGCCCCCCCAGATGCACCCAAGATGCTCCAAGAGGCCTCGGCGAGAATGCCTAATCATTGATTCTACACAGGTTTTAGCCACATGGAGGCCTCTTGGGGGGGGGCACGGATTAAGATGACTCCAAGAGCGTCTGGGAGAGCCCAAAATGACCTCCAAGATGGCTCAAGATATCCCAAGATGTCTCATAATGGCTTCCTCTGTGTGCTGCCCACTTCTCTGATCGAGGCAATTCCTCTGGGCATCGTTTCTGGATGGGCTGGTGGGGATTCGCGAAGCGACAACAATTAGGGAAAGGGGGGGAAGTGGACGTAGTCAGTGACCGCGTAGTTAACTGACCACCCGAGGGGGGTGGGCCAGTCCAGGGGAGCAGACGGGGGGAAACCCTTTGGGGATGCACATGTGCATGGGGTCGCGGAAGGTGGCGCTGGGAGGCAGGGCCCATTGGGCCCAGGACACGCCTCCCCCCCTTGCCTGCCCGACGTCGTCGAGGAGGCCCCCCCAATTGTAGTCGGGCCCAGGGATCTTGGGGGTCGAACTGAGGTAATTAAGTGAGGTGGGCATGGGTGTTGCGGTGGCCTTTCTCCACCCATGCCTTGCACGCTTCACACCAAAAGACCCATTCACCCCCGAGGTCGGAGGGGCATTTGGCCCAGCGGAGGTTTGGGTCTGGGGGCAGGTGTAGCAGAGGTCTCCGGGGGCATCAGAAAAGGGAAAGGGGGCAGGCTGGGGGACGATCCCCCGAGCCCAGGAGTGCCACTGGGGGCGCGCGCCCTGACCCCCACGGACCACTGGGTGTTGCTGGCGAGGAGCGCCCCGTTGGGGACGACCACGGTAACGCTCCTGGCTGGCGGCATCCTGGGCGCCCAGAAGAGGTTGACGCAGGGGGCCGCGGACGGTGAGCGGGCGGCTGGGCGCGGCTGAGCCGAGTGGCTGCGGGGCGAGGCCAGGGGTAGTCAAGGCGGGCAAAGGGCGGGGACGCCAGCGTGTGCAGGGAGAGCCGACAGGGAGGAAGGGGGCGGAGCCCGGAGGGGGGGGGAGGGGGAGCGGGGCGGAGCGGGGGGGGGGGGCAAGAGCGAGGACCCCCAACCTTGTCCTCCTCTCAGGCGGGTGCGGTTTGTTTGGGCGGAGGCCCGCTCAAGGACAGCCACGATGCGGCCGAGGTTAGGAAGGAGCAAGGTGGGGGGAGTCGGGCCGCGGAGGAGGGGGGAAAGGGCGGGGGTGGGGGCTTCTGTGTGCCAGGCGAGGTGCGTGCGCGCGTCCGTGAAGCCCGCTTCACGGATAGCGGCGCTCCAGAAGACGCCGATCGTGGCGATGGTATCAGCCCCGCTGCTGAAGCGCCGGCGGGCGCCCTGCCATGCTAGGCGCCCTGCTATGCCAGGGCTACGAGGCCGAGGGCCATCTCCACAGCAGCGTGGTGGGCGACGCGTCGGAGGCGCCCTGTGGCCAACCCGTAGCGAGCCACGGGGAGGCTGTCGCCGACTATTCGAGCGACGCGAGGCCGGGGTGGGATCCGAGCATCCAGCATGAGTCGAAAAGCAGCGTGGCATGCCAGTGTTTCGCTTGTCTGGGAGCCATCGGCCCCGGGGATGGCGACCGCCATAGTGGCGAGCGCCGTCGGGCTCTGCCCATCGTTTGGGTGGAGCCAGAGGATGGCGCCACCGCCTTAGCCCTCCTGCTCCTCCTGCTCCTCCTCCTCCTCCTCCTCCTCCTCCTCCTCCTCCTCCTCCTCCTCCTCCTCCTCCTCCTCCTCCTCCACTGCGTGGTCGCCTGCATTCGAGGGCCCCCCCCCCCCTGCAGATGGGCCGAGCCCTCTCGTCAAGGGCGGCCCCGAGGGGGCGCCTCCCGCAGGGTTCGGCGCCCGCCGTGCTGGACCGAGCGCGCGGTGTCCCGACGTCGTCGCAGACCCCGCGAGGAGAGCTCCTCCTCCTCCTCCTCCTCCTCCTCCTCCTCTCCTCTCCTCCTCCTCCTCCTCTCCTCCTCCTCCTCCTCCTCCTCCTCCTCCTCCCTCCTCCCTCTCCCTCCTCCCTCCGTGGCGAAGCGTCCTGGCAATGCCTATAGGCCTGCCAAACAATATTCTAAGAACCCTTTGTGGTTCCCACGACATGGTCTTAGAGCATTTCTGGCGGGGACAGTCTTGCTTTAACACATCGGGTCCATGTTCTAAGAATATTGTTCTTGTGCTTAGAAAATTCTCGGGTTCGAAGAAGATTTCGTGGTAGGCTTATAGGAATGCCGGACGGTCGGTCCCTGCTCAACTGGAGGGCCATGCCCCCCAATACAGTCGGACCGAGGTTTCATCGGCGGTGAGCGAGGGGGAAAGTGTGAAGGAGAAGACCCTCTCAGAGGGCGGCGGGGCTTCTCAGAAGCTCTCGGGCCTTCTGGGAGGTTTCCTGTGCCTTCGGGGAAGACTTAGAGAACTTCTCAGAGAGTCTGGGGGACTTCCGAGCCTTCTGTATTCGTCCTCATCCTCTTCCTCCCTTCCTGGTTTATGCTCTGCCCCCTCCCCCATTCTCAACTCATCTTGCCCCTCCTTCCCCCTCCTCGTCTTCCTCCTCCTCCCCCAGCTATGGTGCATCCTCTGTAGTTTTTCTGTTTCCCCCGCCTGCGCGTCTTCCCGCTTCCTCCCGCAGCCGTTTGGCATCAGCTTAGAAATTGGAGGCGGCGCCGCCCGAAGCGTCCCCGGCGATGTCGCAGCAGCGGGTCAACGTGGTGTGGTTCAAGTGCACTGACCTGCGCACCCACGACCATGCGGCACTTCAGGCCGCGCACGCGGACAAGCTGCCCGTGCTCCACCTGTGCCTCGAGGGGAGGGGGGCGGGTCGATGCATTCCTCCTTCCTCCTCCTTTGTCCTCCTCCTCCTCCTCCTCCTCCTCCTCCTCCTCCTCCTCCTCCTCCTCCTCCTCCTCCTCCTCTTCCTCCTTCTCCACTTCCTCCTCCTCCTCCACCGGTGCCTCAGTCCCATGGCTCAGGAGGACCGAAGTTTGGGTATGCAGCCGGCCTTTTTCGGGCCTCTGGAGGTCTCTGGGCCCCTCCGGAGGCCTCCTCCGTGAAGCTCCTGGGACCTCCGGAGGCCTCTCTCTGGTGACCTTCGGCGAGGTACGTCTTCGACCCGTTCTGGTACGAGGGCAGCACGAGGCTGTGCAGGTGGCGAGTAGGGGATCGACCGTGGAATTGATTCACCCTACAATCCATGTTCTCGCCGAATCTACGAACAAATGCGTAGAATGTGCGTATATATATGTGTGTATATACACACACACACACACGAACATTATGTGTAGTTGGTTGTAGACCCGACAAAAAAAATCAAGTTGGGGGTAAACCAATTCTGTAGTCGACCCCCTGCTCGAAGGTTTCCGAAGACGGGCGTGCTGCGGAGCCGCTTCCAGCTGGAGGCCGTGGCAGACCTGGCGGAGAGGCTCGCGGCCGAGGGCCACGCGCTGACGACGCGAAGGCACGCCTCCACCGAGGCCGTCTTCGAGGAGCTGTGCGCGGACTTCAAGGCTCGGGCAGGGGATCGACTACGGAGCTGATCTACCCCAGAAAGGATGCTCACGTCGAGCCTCCCACAAAAATGCGTAGAGGGTTCGTCGATCTGCGAACGTTCTACGAATCTTCCGAGGACGCGACGAGAAAAGTCAGTTCTGGGGTGAATCAACTCTGCAGGCGATCCCCTACTCGAGAGGTCAACGCGGTCTTTGCCTTCCACGAGATCTGCAGCGAGGAGCTCCGCATCCAGAGGAGCGTGGAGAAGGCTCTGCGCCGGCACGGGCAGGGCCCCCTCCGCCTCTTCTGGGGCTTCGAGCTGTACCACCACGACGACCTCAGGTCAGGCCAGCCACAACTGGGGGAGCTGTGCTCCTGCCCCCTCTGGGGGGCCCATCGATTTCGACACCCCTCTCGAGAGATCGTCGATGCGATGGATTCCCCCAGGGGGGTCAGGACCACAGCTCCCCCGGTTATGGCTGGTCGGCAGGTTCGACCCGAAGTTTCCCCGGGGTGCCTTCAACTCCTACACGGCGTTCCGGAAGCGGGTGGAGGAGAGCTGCCAGGTGCGCCAGCCCTCGCCGGCGCCCCACTTCTCGGGCAGCCCCGAGCACCGAGTCAGCTGGGCGCGGGCAGATGAGCGCTTGCCGACGGTCCGCGAGCTCATGGGCGCCATGTACGATGCGGCAGAGGACGCCGGCGAGCGACGGGACCCGCGCGCCGAGTTCCGGTGGGTAGGCGGCGAGACCGCCGCACTGGCGCGCGTGAGGGAGTACCTGTGGGAGACGGACAGCCTGGGGCTCGACTACGTCGGGGCGACCATGACCATGGACCCCTCCAAGAGCTGCATGCGGGACAAGGCCATGACCAAGCTGTCGCCGTGGCTCGCGCACGGGTGCCTGTCGCCGCGGCTGCTGCACGCGGAGGTGAAGCGCTACGAGCGGGAGCGCAGGAAGACCAAGAGCACCTACTGGATCACGCACGAGCTGCTCTGGCGGGACTTCGTGCGCTTCGGCAGCATCGCGGCGGGCACGTCGATATTCAAGATAGGCGGCCTTTCGAACACCCACCCGAGGTGGAAGTGGTCCACCAACCGCGAGGTCCTGAACGCCTGGATGACAGGCATGACCGGCTTCCCATTTGTAGATTGTTTCATGCGCGAGCTGAAAGTTACTGGATACTGCAACCACATGGGCCGCGAGACAATCGGCTGGTTTCTGGCCGGAGACTTAGGGCTTGACTGGCGCATGGGCGCCGAGTGGTTCGAGTCTGTATTGATCGACTACGAGCCCACGGCGAATTGGTACAATTGGGTTTACCGGTGCCTCCCAGCGGATGCGGGATAGGCAAATTAACACGGCACAACGCAATGTGTGATCCGAACGGAGGCGACTCCAGGCATGCGTTGACACGCACAGTCGAACCAACGGCAGGCATACAGCCAGTACTCGGCGAGGCGCAGCTGCTGCAGCGTCCCGAGGCTGGAGAAGCTCCAGGAACCGCCAAAAACGGTCCAAAATTCCGAATTTTGACGTCCTCCTCCTTCTCCTCCTCCTGCGTCCCAGGCTGGGCGCCCGGGCCCGCCGGGTGAGCTGCTGATGGATGCGCCGGGCCACCGGCTGCAGGGGCTCTTTGGAGGGAGGGGCAAGCTCGGGGCACCCGAGTGCCCGTTGTCCTTTTCTGTCGCGGCCAGGAAGGGGTAAGGGAGGAGAGAGGAGGAGGAGAAGGAGGAGGAGGAGGAGGAGCAAGGAGGAGGAGGAGGAGGAGGGAGAAGGAGGACGAGGAGGAGGAGGAGGAGAGAAGAGGGGGAGGAGGAGGACCAGTGTCAACCCAAAACGCATCAACGATGTTGAACGAAATGCACCCCCCCTCACATATCCCCCTTCACAGGCCCCTACAAGGGGTCATTTCCACTGAGGGAGTTGCCCCGTTGGGAGACATCCGAGTGAACATCTTGAAGCGTGCCAAAACACCATTCGTAGGATCTTAACGCTACGAGTGATCCTGACGCGTGCCAGAACACCATTCCTGGGACTTCAACACCGCGAATCCACGAAATTGTTGCGCCCTGGCAATCCTGAGTCGTTCCAAAACACCATTTCTGGTACGTGAACCATGAGAACCAGTGAAGCCCCTGCAGATGTTCAGAACGACTGCGCGCGGCGCTCAGGCGAGAGCCACATGTTGAAAAGGAGCCGCCCTCAATCCGTTTCAGTTGTTGCAAATGTTTAGAGCGAATGCGCGCGGCGCCAAAGCGAGAGCCACAGTGTGAACACGACCCGCCCTCAATCCGCTTATTCTTGCAACGCTTACAAAAACGAATGTGCACGGCGCTAAGGCGAGAGCCGCAGTTTGAAAACCACCCGCCCTCAATCCGTGAAACTTGCACAAGTTTAAAACGAATGTGTGCGGCGCTAAGGCGAGAGCCACAGTTTGAAAACCACCCGCCCTCAATCCGTGAAACATGCATATGTTTTAAACGAATGTGCGCGGCGCTAAGGCGAGAACCACAGTTTGAAAACGACCCGCCTTCAACCCGTGAAACTCTTCACTTGTACAAAAACGAATACACGCGGGGCTAATGAGGGAGCCACATTTTGAAAACCACCCGCCGTCAATCCGTGAAGCTCGTGCAATTGTTTACAATGAGTGTGCGCGTCGCTAAGGCGAGAGCCACATTTTGAAAACGACCCGCCCTCCATGTGTGAGATTGCTGTCGTAAGCATCAGGGTCATAAGTGGTGAGGAAGTCTCAGGCGAAACGCCCGGCTCGCCCTTTCGACTGGCCTCGGGATGCGACAGGGAGGAGGGAGGAGAATATATAGGATGAGGAGGAGGAAGGAATGGAGGAGGAGGAGGAGGAGTGCAATCTAGGAGGAGGAGGAGGATGAGGAGAGGAGGAGGAAGGGCAAGGACGTAGGACGAGGAGTAGGAGGATGAGGTTAGCGAGGGGTGAGGCTAAGAAAGGATGGAGGAGGAGGAGAAGGAGGAGGGGAGGAGGTTCTGGAGAGAAGATGGGAAGAAAGCGTGGAGGAAGAGGCGGAAGGCAGGAGGCGGAGGAGGGGCGGAGGAGGAGGAGGGGGAGAGGGAGGAGAGGAGGAGGAGGAGGAGGAGGAGGGAGGAGGAGGAGGAGGAGGAGGAGGAGGAGAGGGAGGAGGAGAGGAGGAGAGGAAAAGGAGGAGGAGGAGGAGAGAAGAGGAGGAGGAGGAGGAGGAGGACCAGTGTAAACCCAAGACGCATCAACGATGTTGCAAAGAGCCCTAGGAGGAGGCAATCAGAGGAGGAGGATGAGGAGGAGGAGGAGGAAGGGCAAGGACGTAGGACGAGGAGTAGGAGGATGAGGTTAGCGAGGGGTGAGGCTAAGAAAGGATGGAGGAGGAGGAGAAGGAGGAGGAGGAGGAGGAGGTTCTGGAGAGAAGATGGGAAGAAAGCGTGGAGGAAGAGGCGGAAGGCAGGAGGCGGAGGAGGAGGCGGAGGAGGAGGAGGGAGATGAAGCCACCTTGAGCATGCGCGAACCGTGTTTTGCAGGTCTTTCATCGCTCCTCCACTCCCCTTTTCCAGGCTCGAGATCCTGAAATGGGGCACGCAGCACGACCCCGACGCCGAGTACATCAAGAGGTGGCCCCAAGACGGGATCCCCCTCGAGGGGGGGTGCGGAGCGCAGAGGGCGGCGGGCTAGCGGTGGAAGTAGAACGGGGCCGCCTCCGCCGGCGGAGGGCGGCGGAAGCAGAAGCCGGCCCTCCAGTGAGTGCACACCCTTTAGGGGTCCTGGGTTCCTGGGGCGATGCCAGTGATTCCTTCTCCCTCGGGAAAGGGGGGGCATGAGAAGAGTGAGGAGAGGGAATGATGAAGGTCGACAAGAGGGGACCCTTTCTTCCTCCCGCTTCGGTGGCAGACGAGGAGAGAGGGATCGGGAGGCAGGAGTGAGGAGGAGGGGCCGAGGAGGGAGGGTATGGAGGAGATCCGGGAGCGAGGAGTGCGAAAGGAAACTTCGAATTTCGGAACCCCTCGCTCGATCCTCGATCCCCGGAGCTCCTGAGGGCAGGCACCCCTGCGTGCAAAAGCTCATCATTCTCCTGTTTCCCATCCCTTCCCCTTCTCCCTTCTCAGGTTTCCCTCCTCCGTCCTCCTATTCCCCATTCTCCCTCCTTCTCCTCCTTCTCCTCGTCATCTTTCATCCCTCCTCCCTCCTCCCCATCCTCCTCCTCATCCTCCTCCTCATCCTCCTTCTCCTCCTCCTCCTCCTCCTCCTCCTCCTCTTCCTCCTCCTCCTCCTCCTGCTCCTGCTCCTCCTCCTCCTCCTCCCTCCTCCTCCCTCCTCCCTTCTCCCTCCTCCTGCTGTCTCCCCTCCCTCCCCTCCCTCCTTCTGTTTCCGCTCCTCCCTCCTCCCCGTCCTCCTCCCCGTCCTTCTCCTCCTCCTCCTCCTCCTCCTCCTCCTCCTCGTCCTCCTCCTCCTCCTCATCATCATTAACAGCAGCATCATCTCCTCATCATCAGCTGCATCGTCCGGCTCAGTGCCAAGACGCGGTACGCGGAGCATCTAACCCGATCTTATGATGCCGTGTTGGTGACAGAAACGCACAGCATGCCAGGGGCAGCAGAGGCATGGTGCCGTCCGCGGGACTGCAGCACATGGTGGTTCCACGGGACCGCTACCCGGGCAGGCGTCGGGATCATTGTGAAACATCGTTTTCTCAATCAGTTCCCGGAGCGTGATTGGGTTGAGATTGAAGCCGGCCGCGCAGCAGCGCTCCGCTTGGGCGGCCCTCGGTTCCTTGGATCTGAGTGTCGTGTATTTCCCGACGGGTTCCGCCCAGGCGCTGCGAGAGCCAGCAGAGGCCCAGCCTCCGCTGGGACGCTCCCTCCCAGGCCACCGGGCCGCCCTGCGGCTCCGAGTTGCGCGCGCGCTCCGCCCCCAGGTGAGTGCGCTCACGGTCATCGCCGGTGACCTCAGTTGGGTCGTGGAGGACGCTGACCGGGTGACCCTACGCTCGGGGCACCACTCTGGCAGGCGCGATCGTGCCGAGGAGCGCCACTGGCAGCAGACAACGCTCCAGCCCTTCTCGTTGCATGAGCTCCACCAGCCCGCGCAGACGCACCGCAGCGGCACCGCGACGTCGCGGCTCGACAGGATCTATTGGAACCAGGAGGCGGCGGAGCAGCTCGATCGGGACAGCTACGCGGTCGCGCTGGAATGGGTCCCGGGGCTCTCGCACCACCGAGCCGTGGCCGCAGGTCGCAGGTTGCCCTCTCGCGCTACGGCGGGCGACAGGCCCATCGCGCCGGAGGCAATCCAGCACGCAGATTGGGCGTACCGCGTCACGCTTGCGTTCCAGGAGCGTGCGGCGGCTGAGCCCGAAGCCTCGCCGTTTCGCCGTTTGGCTTTGCTCAAGGAAGCGATGAAGGCAGTCGCAGCGGCGCTGTCCAAGGAGATGGAGCACGGGCACCCGGCCGAGACTGCAGAAGACCGGGGAAGGGCAACGATGCAATTCTTACGGGCTGCCGAGGGCGGCCACGTGGGCGCATCAGTCGTTGCCTGGAGCGGTACCCACATCTGGACCGGCTGGTAGACAACCCCTACTCGCCTCAGCTACGCGCGGCAGGCCGCCAGCAGGCGCTTCGGGATCACGCAGAGGAGTTGGCTCGTGAGCACGCGCTGGAAGAGCTGCGCCGGCCGGTCGGACCTGCCAACTTTGGGCGCCCACCAAGCAGCCGTTCGGCGCAGTCGGAATTGGCAGCTGCTGCCAAGGTTGGCGCTCAGGTGCTGCAGGTCACTTGCCGCCGTGCTGAATCGCGCGGGGGAGGTGGTCACGCACCCTGCAGCCATGGCAGACGCTCTGAGGGATCACTGGAGAACGACCTTCCGCGCGCGACCCCTGGACGCACGCCTCCGCCGGCAGTGGCTGCTCGACGAGCGGCGCGCCCGAGCGGAGCGCGGAGGCACTACGCTCCCGCCAGTCGAGGACCCGCGATGGCGCCTCCAGCTGAGCGACGTGCAGGACGCGCTGGATTGCGCGCCGTCGACCGCGCGCGGCCCAGACGGACTGCCGTTCGCAGCGTGGAAGCGACTCGCCCCCCCTGACCGCGGACGTCCTGCACAGCGCCTACGGCCAGCTCTCCAGCCCTGGCGCAAACGAAACCATCATGCGGGACCTCTCGGGCTACAACGACAGCCTGATGGTCTTCCTGCCGACAGCGGCGACAGGGGCCTGGGCCGACGGGACGCCGCACTACGCGCCAGGTGACACTCGTCCTCTGAGCCTCGTCAACACGGACAACCAGCTGCTGGTTGGAGCAGTGCGCCGCCGCCTCGAGCCCCTCCTTGCGCAGGTCGTCTCGCCAGAGCAGCGCGGATTCGTCGGCGGCCGCTCCTTGCTCGCCAACGTGGTGGACGTGGATGAGGCGATGCAGATCACCGCGCTGACTGAACCTGACGGCGCCGCAGTCTTCTTCGACTTCGCTGCGGCGTTTCCCAGCGTCGGACAGGACTTCCTCTCAGAGGCCCTCGCGGACTCGGGCCTCCCGGACGCTGTGCTGAACTACGTGGGTGCGCTGTATTCCAACTACAGGTGCCAGCTGGTTGTCGGGGGAAGCGCGCACGACGGCTTCCCTGTCACCGCCGGAATCAGGCAGGGGTGCCCGCTATCACCGCTGCTCTTCGCGGTGGCCGCCGACCTGCTGCTGCGGCGCCTCGGCCCGGCGCTTCCGCGGGCAGTTCGGCGCGCCTACGCAGACGACCTGGCGCTGGTCCTGCCGCAGGGCGCTGCCGCGGCTGGCGCGCTCGAGACGCTCTTCGACGCCTACGCCGCCATCTCGGGTCTGCGATTGAATATCGGAAAGACCTACTGGGTGCTGCTCCGGACGCGTGTGGACACCCTGCAGCTGTTAGGTTGATTCGTGCCTGTCTGACGGCAGCATCTTCATCCGCGTTCTTCTAGTTGCCAACGGGATACAACTCTTTGCCTTGCCAGTTCCATTCCATTGGGACGGTCCTGCAGTTGAATGGCTGGGAGCTTGGTAATTTGTCCTCTACCCTGAGAGGAACCTGAGTCTCCCGCACTGCCGCTATCCACCAACAGCCGGTATTATGTCTGCCCCTGTCCCTCTGGGCTTGTGTCTTCGCTTCTGCCAATGGTTTCAGACAGTGTTCATTGGGACTTGTCGTGTCGCATTTTGCGATCTGCCGGCCCACTGTGGTCCGGACTAGAGTTTGTGACCCCTGCTAGTGAGTTTAACTTGCCTTCTCGGCCAGGCGTGCGTTGGCCAGTTCACTGCACTCGCTCACGTTCGTTGCTAGTCTGTCCGCATTCGTCCCCTAAGCTTTCCTCCTTCTCCAAAGAATCGCGCAGTAAAAAACATTAACGTCATCATCAGCATCATCAACACCAACATCATCATCATCATCATCATCACCATCATCATCAGCATCAGCATCAGCATCAGCATCAGCATCAGCACCATCATAGTCATCATAATAATCACAATCATCATCATCAGAATCATCATCTTCATCATCTGCACCAGTATCACCACAACCATCATCACCACCACCACCACCACCACCACCATCATCATCATCATCATCATCATCATCATCATCATCATCATCATCATGTTTGTTGCGTCTCCTCCTCGGGGGCTCGCCTTTCGACCTCATCTACCCTCCTGTGCTACGTCCCGACCACTGCCCCAGGGCAGTTGTTTCACCCTGGATCATTTTCTGACGGCCCCCGAGCCTGGAAACCATGTCTATGTCTGGGGACCTCTGGGGGCCGCGGACTGAGAAAACACAACGTCGGATGTCTGGGTACCGCTCGCCCAGAGAAAGAAAGACAGGATGATGATGCAGATGATGATGCTGATGATGATGCTGATGATGAGGATGAGGATGAGGTTGGGATTAAGATGAGGATACTGAGGATGAGGATGGGGATGATGATGCTGATGCTGATGCTGATAATGATGAGGAGGATGGAATGAAGATGAGGATGATGATGATGCTGATGATGATGATGGTGGCGATGCTGATGATGAGGAGGAGGAGGAGGAGGATGAGGATGAGGATGAGGATGAGGATGGGGATGATGATGATGATGATGATGATGATGATGATGATGATGATGATGATGATGGTGATGGTGATGGTGATGGTGATGGTGATGGTGATGGTGATGGTGATGATGATGATGTTCATGCTGATGCTTATGCTGATGATGATGATGCTGATGCTGATGCTGATGCTGATGATGACGAGTAGGAGGAGGTGGTGGAGGAGGAGGAGGAGGAGGACGAGGAGCTCGGCAACGACTTGAAAGGTGCCGCCATATTCACACGCACACTGACTGAACTCCAAACCAGTTGGGGGTCGAGGTCTTCGGGGAGTGGAGCGCCCTGCCGACAGCGCTCACGCGCTCACGCGCCCCGAGAATCCCGGAGCTGATTCCAAGCAGTGCAATGCCACCCTGAAGGTCGACCGCATCTAGGAGGCCTAGACTCGGGCACCAGGGGGGGGCGAAGCACTCTGGCCGGTGGGGGGGTCTCCCGTGCGGGCCCGCCGCCAGCCGAGGCGCTCGCGGCAGGAGCCGCGCCCCCGCTATCTGGCGCCGCGACGACGCCGACGACGTCGACGAAGTCCCAGCCCAGACTATCCCCACCCCCTCCCAACGAAGAGGCCAGGCAAGCTCTGGAGCGCGGCGGTGCGAGCGAGGGAGGGCCGTCCAGATCCATCTTGCATAACAGGTGTTCCCGAGCAGGCTCCGACCACAACGGGGGCCCGAAAAAAACCCAAACCTGCTCTTGGAAGGACGGCCCTGCGACATCCAGGCCAGCTGCTTCTCACGCCGTGGCGAGTGGTGCCCCACGCAGTCCTGAGCAAACGCGGTCTTGCCTCCATGCCCACCTACAGCACAAGTGGAGCCACAAGTGGTGCAGAAGGCGAGGGAGCCCTGGGATTTCCCAGAGGCATCAGTCACATCAGCCTCACTGATGGCGTGGCCTCGAGCAGGCCACACATGGAGGTCGGGCCACTCGGCTCTCGCCTCCTCCACAGTGTGTTTCCATCCCCGGAGGAGGAGGAGGAGGAGGAGGAGGAGGAGGAGGAGGAGGAGGAGGAGGAGAAAGAGGAGGAGAGGAGAAAGGAGGAG